GCTGGCGAACCTGACGACGGTGGGGGAAGGGTGCGCGGCGGTGGGGAGGGAGGAAGGGGCGGTGGGGTCGCTGGTGGAGGTGGTGGAGAGCGGGTCCCACAGGGGGAAGGAGAACGCGGCCGCCGTGCTTCTGCAGATGTGCGTTGGGAGCGCCAAGCACTGTAGGGCCGTGCTGCAGGAAGGGGCCGTGCCGCCGCTCGTCGCGCTGTCACAGTCGGGGACCCCGCGAGCGAAGGAGAAGGTCAGTGTGTGTTTTGATTACGCTTTACTTTCGAACTATATGTGTGTGTGTGTTTTAAATTGTGGTGGCTTTGAATTTGTTGATATTGTTGTCGAGAGAAGTTATGTGAAGGAAAAAAGGATTAGGGGGTGTATTGATTTGGGATTTTAAGACTGTGTTTGGTAAGAACTATAAGTTAGCTTATACTAGCTTATTTAGTTAGCTTCTAAGCTTTATGCATACAAATCAACTTGGTTTGGTAGGACTGACTTTTTCTAAACCTCGAGCTTATCTCATAAGCTTCTTTAGGTAGCTTTTTGAATAAGCCGCCCGTTGGAATTTTCATTTCAACTATCTTATCAGCTAATTTTACAGAACACTTTTATCATATCACATAACTTTTTAGCCATAAGCCATTAGCTTTCAGCTCGAAGTTCACTTATAAGCTATCAACTAACTTATGAACTATCTGCTAGCTTATACCAAACATAGCCTAAGAATCTTGGTGTATTTAACTTGGACATGTTGAAAAACTTTTAAAATCTCGAGGTATTCATTTGAGATTTTGAAGTCTTAAAAGTCATGTGATATTCATTTGAGATTTTGGAAAGTCTTAATTTATTGCCTTTTGGATTTGTAATTTGTCAGACTTGATTAGATATCTAATACTCCCTCTTATTCATAATAAGTGTCGTTTTAAGAAGTTGCATAGTAATTAAGGATATTTTTTTTGTCAATAATAACTCTTTTTAATGAAGATAGAGAATGATGTTTTGGGAAAAAAAAATGAAGAGTGAATATGAAAAGACGTAGTGTATTTATTAGCTAAATGAGGGTAATAATGGAAAAATATGTACAAAAGATCTAAAACGACATCTATTTGGATAATAGTTAATAAAGTCAAAATGACATTTAAAAAGAATAGGAGGTAGTACAAATTATTACATATAAAAAATCCTACCACGAAATCCCACCTCTGTATGGAAAAGAATTAAAGAAGGTTTTGTCAATTTGGCCATCATAGTAACTCTTATTGTTTGAAACTTAAGGAAATATTTGTAAAATTTAGAAAACTAGATAAAAAATACTTAGATGCCAACCATCACCTTGCTTGCACCAGCTTAGTTAAACTCCATGTCTGAAGCTACCTTAATCTTTCATCTAATATTAGAATATATAATCTATAATCTGAATCTTCTTTGGTGCTGTAACAAATTAAAGTCATTTTGATCATCGTCTTCTGTGGCTTCAGCCGTATTTTCTTACGTACATCTTATAATCAATCTTGCTCTAGCTGTGTTAACACTGCACAAATTCTTGGGCATCACGAATACACAAATCTCTGTACACTCTTAATCCTTGTCATCTGTAGCTTTGAAAAAAATAAATGAATTTTGGTTATGATTTTCCCAATTATTTGAAGCAGGCTCAGCAGCTTCTTAGCCATTTTCGGAACCAACGTGAGAGTGCCCTGGCGAGAGGAAGATCGTGAAAGGAAATTATTTAAGTATTTTACTCATTCGTGTCGTTCTTTTTTCCTATTATCTCCAGNTTTCTTCTTTTATTCTTTTTTTTTTTAGTTGTTCGGATGAGTTTTGTAAGGTATCCATTTCCTTATCAGATTTGTAGCAACCAGACGAGCCCGTGTTGGAACTTGTCAGCTATTGCTTCCCGTGAGGTTTTGATTTGTTCGTTCTTTATTGCGTGAGCCGTGAATGACTGTAGTAGTGTATGTACATTGTACAGTAGGGTTTTTGTATATACAGCTTTGTTTTTATACCGTCATTTTTTTTTAGTTACGTGCTTCTTTCAAAAGATTAGTGGTGCAGCGGTTTGGATTTTGGGACCTGCTTTTGGTTAATCACATTGAAATTTTCATTTTGAAAATCAATTTCTATGATTCTCTCTTTCTCTCTCTTTTGATTCGTCCAACAACACATTTTCACCTGTCGGAATATTAATTGGAACTCGTTGAAATAATTTTTTTCTGCTAATAATTCTGACAGTTAGAAAAAATCACCAAAATTGAAATGAAAAACCAATTCGAGCTTAACATTTCAGTTGGCAAGTGGAGTTTTTCGTTCCCTTGTTTGGGAGCTTTTTATAGGTTTGTTCCCTTTGTGGAGGGGAAGCACTTATGATTAAGTGATTTCTCTCGAGTTCGTTTATTTCTGTCACTTACTAGTTAGAATGATCCTTGTAACACACTGGCAACCGACTGTGCTCCTTTTGAGTTTTATATAATTGTATTTGTCATTTAAAAAAAAAGAAAGAATGTGTTTCATCTCTTTATTCATATATTTATTGACAAGATATTATTTATACTGAGCAAATTGCAATTTTAGTTATGTACGTTCAAGAAGAAAAATAAAATAGTCCCCCATGAGTAACGGTTTTTAAAATTGCCCCTTATGTACACAAAAATGTTGCAATTTTGTTCTCGGCCTCCGGAAAAAATGAAGAGTCGTTGGAAAATCACAAGTTATTCTAGGCAACCGAAACTGGTGATTTGGAGCCTATATGGAATTTAAAGTAAAATCATGTGCATTTATTTGAAAAAATAAAAATAAAAGAAAGAAATGAAGATTAAAATACAGTAAATAAATAAAAATGAATGCATGCATTCAAGTTCCAATTAAAAATGAATTAGTAATAAAAAAGATTGGAACTGGTAAAGAGCTATTGTTGCTCATAAAGAAATTAACAGAACAGGAGTTCATCCAAAACAAATTTTGTACTTGCCTGTTGCCCACTCCAGAGGATGTTCAAAACAAGCGACCATTCAGGCTCATGACCTTAATTATGGTAATTTTTTTCTTCCACCACTTGCCCACCTCGAAGGATGTTTAAAACAAGCGACCACCCAGCCTCATGGTCAGGGTGAATATTCAAAACAAGCTACCACCCAGCTTCATGGTCGGGGTGGATGTTCAAAACAAGCGACCACCAGCGGCCTTAATCATGATGAATTTTTCTTCGACCACTTGCGCAGCCGAAGGATGTTCAAAACAAACGACCACCCAGCATCATGGTGAATTTTTTTCTTCGATCACTTGCTCGAAAGATGTCCATGTTTTGTCAACCTCAAATGAAAGAAATTTTTTTTTGACATAATATTTTTTCAAATTAGCAACATTCCGGCTAGCGATCGCCTTCCGGCCTTCCGTATCTTGAATATGCTCCTCGGACATGGACTGAATTAACAACAAATATAAACTCTTACCTTATTAACAACAAATATAAACTCTTACCTTAAAATAACAAAAATGGTAGTTCATCAAAATAAGAACCAAACAATAGTTCACCCACCAATATGTGAACAATTAAATTCTGATCATTGCACGTTGGTGCATGAGTTGGGCATTATTTCCCCATGTAAAATTACAAAATCACAAAAAAAATGCTATCTATATGTTATTCAAATTAAAATTAAAATAATAATAATAATAATAGTTCAATATTGAGTTCTACAATATATAAACCTCTCTATATATTTTATAATACATGAATCTAGGTAATAAAATACTATCTAGCTACATATATATAACTTCTAAACTATTCCAATAAACACAAACATATCATCATCATAAATACTAATCTGAACCAAATTCTTCTAAACTATTCCAAACCAACACATACATTTCTTCATAATAAAACAATATATCAATCTCCTAACCATGCACAAAACAAATCACACACTACTACCACATTCAACTACATGTTCACTCTCACTCCATTTGATCACTTCAAAATATACACCATATCCATCAATCAATCCCATGGCTTTTCAAATGAAAACCGAGCCGTTATCATCACGATCGAAGTTCATACCATCCAGCATTTCGGACACCTCATTATTCGGCCCATGATCGAGATCGAACAAGAAGCCATAGTCATCCTCACACTTGGCAAAACTCGGGTCAACTAATACTTTGTTCTGATAACCATAGTTAGGCATTTCATGAGATAAAAGAGTCGGGTATGTCTCGTTTGTCGTCAAACCTAATGAAGTATTCGGGTTAATATTATGGCCATGTTGATGATGATGATTATTCTGACGTAGGCTTTGTTGTGAGAAAGATGATGAGATATTGTTTTGATGGTTATGAAGTTCATTGTTTAATTGTTCTCCTCTCGATTTGTGAAATACTCTGCATAGCACCCAATCTTCCTGTCGAAATCATTGTAAGTTTGAATTATCAGCATTATTGTTAGATACAAATATAAGCAAAATATATACATGCGAATCTCCGAAAAATCGTTGTAATGTTTAAGTTTTCTTGTTAGTACGGTACTCAATTGTAGTAATCGACAAGTCGCATTCCGTTTTGCGTGTGTTTTTTAATATTTTTTTTTTGGGGCCAAATACAAATAGAAGATCATATCCAAGATTCAAAGAGCTAGAGGGATTTGATAATAGTGTGTGTACATATGGGAAAGTGATGGAAAGGCCCACATGGGATGAAAATAATATACTAAAATGTGATGAGGTGAGTGAAAGAAAGAAAAAATGGGACACAGAATCTTTTTTCTGCTGTCAATCAATGGTGTCTGGTTCAAGCTTTTTCTTGGTACATAATTGTCAACAAGAATGACTTAAAAGTTAAAATACCCTTTTCACAAAATTTTATTTTATTTTGATTATAATAACCCTTTATCATACATACACAAACATTTGAAATCTTTTAAGAAAAAAAAGAAAAGAAAAGAAGTTTATGTATGATGATCAGGAGAAAGAAAGGAACAAACTAACCTTAGGCGGCACGTGAGGATTTTCCATCCGAAACTCGTGCATAATCCACCCGGTTTTGATTCCATTCGGAGCTCGATTCTTGTAAAAAACCAAAGTCTTTCTCATACCCACAACACCTCGTGTTTTTGGGTCAAGCACGACTCTATCTTTTCCGGTGGCCTTCCAATAACCGGTTGTGGTGGCTCGGTTTGTTCTGAAACCGGTTGCATACTTCCGGTCGCGAAAGCTAAAGAAATACCACTCGTTCGAATTCAATTTCGCCACATCTGCAAAATAATAATAATAATAATAATAATAATAATATGAAATAAAATAAATTAAAACGTATATAAGTTACGTTGTCAAGTTTAACTAACTCTATGTACCGGAAGGTAATGATATATACACGTGTGCGGAGAAAAATAAAAATAAATCGAAATTACGTATATAAGTTGAACTCGTGCTCGAAACGAATCATTATTCAATATCATCATCATCACTGTTATGCTTGCTTGCATGACAAAATCTGGCTAAAGTGACAAAATAGTTGGTTACAAGTCATGGAGAGATAATAACAAAGGCCATGCTTATAATGCATTATAATTCACTAAGGTTTTTTTGAGAAATTTCATGTGTAAGGAAGGGAATATGTTTTGTTAGCCTTTTCTACATAGATGGGAAGGTTACTTCTATGGTAAGATGTCTATGTCACAACTATTGTCTTCACCAATAAGTATACAGTTTCTAATATAATCATCACTATTGGTTTAATTCTAACTGCAATAATATTTTCAAACTACAAATTATAATAATATGAACAATGTGTAAGCTCTATGTATATATTGATTTTTCTCTTGAAAAATTAATCAAACTTGAAAAAAAAAATAAAGAAAAAAGTTAGCCTAAAGAGGCCCCCTAATGAATTGATGAAAGCTCAATAAACCTTGTTTTTTTTTAAAAAAAAAAAAGTTAGATTTTTTATCTTAAGAAAATGGAAATAAGTCTAATGATATTAGCATTACCATATGCAAAGTATATTTTATTGATTGAAAGATCACGGAATTTTGAGACGTGGCTGATGGATACATTTTAATGTGCCTACAGAAGGGTAGAAGAGTAATTTTGACGAATTATTATCTTCTCAGACATGCTAATGCAATAGTTGTTGCTAAATCTTATCCATTTTATGCAAAAAGATGTGAAAAAAGGAACAAGATTCATTGAACCAAAAACCCATGTAAGAAAAGGTAGAGAAAAACGCATCTTCTCCTCCTTTNNNNAAAAAAAAGAGAATTCTCTCTCTCTCTCTTTCAATTAATTCCATTCATATTATATCAAACACAAAATTCATTTTTTTCTCCACCTGTTCTTGGATTATTTGCTACAGAAAACACACACAAGCACAAACATATGCACCTAAATCAACCACACCATATTTCCATACAAATCACGTGCACAAAAAGAACTTAGTCCAGCATGCACATGCCACTCGTATGTCACGAATATGCCTTACACGAAAATATCAGTGGGCCCAGCCCAGCCCGGCCCGGCCCACAAAAGATACAAATAGATAGATCTACCTGGAAGCTGCCATGGCTCACAAACATGAAGATCAATCTCCACCAAAGTGCCTCTCAAAACATCTTCATTAGCAATCTTTTTGTACAGATAATGGCAGACTAATTCTTCATCACTTGGATAGAATCTGAAGCCTGGTGGCAAACTTTCTCCAATATCTCTTAAACCCATTTTTATTTTTTATTTTTCAAGATTTCAAGAAAAATATTTTTCTTTTTCTTGTTTTGTGGGGGGGGTTTGGTTGAATAATTAAATAGAGGACTTGAGGGGTGCTTATAATATATATAGAGTGAGATGGGGGGATGATTGAAAAGTACCTTGTCCAAATTGAAGTTATCTTTTTTCTTAATTAAGCTTGTGAAGTTAGTTATGGCTACATACAGACTTTAGATGTATTGTTTAATTATATGTGACAAAAATAATAATAATAATATGGGTGTGTATGTGTGGGAACTTTGAGGAGAATTTAATTAGAAGAGCCAAAGTCACAAGGAATTGTATTGATGATGTGGGGCACTAGCTAGGAGGTGGAATAAAAGGAGTAAAATCAGAAGTCTTGGAAATAAAACCTCCAATTTACTACTTTTAATTAAATACTCATATGAATTACCATACTAGACCGGTTTTACCTGAGAAATCGGCCGTACGAGGCCACTGTGCTGACAGACCGAATATTCATCAGAAGAGGATGAAGTCGATCATTCGGCCTGAAGAACAGAGTTTACGAGCCTATTTAAGAAGATATTCAACCTCACAATAATAAGAGTTTGTTTTTACGGTTAGACCGTACCACAAGAAAGATTAATGGATAAGAAAGAATATAGTAGAAAATAAACCTGCACATGAGTTAGGACACATGTCAATGGTATTGCGCAAGCCAAACTTGGGCACTGGTACACCTCCCCTATAAAAGTGGTCTAAGCTAGGTATCATAAAAACACATTTTCTCTACATTCACTATTATACTCTCATATTGCACTTTATCTCTGACGAGTGATGACTTACGCTTCAGAGGCTCTTTACCGAAAACTCCCCATCCGAGTGTTGAGTTTTTGCAGGTGCGGAGGCCATCCAAGGTAGAGGAACACGCGTGATGTCCATTTCACTATTAACTACTATTATACTTTTAAATATAAGAATATACGACATGTACGTGCTGCAAGGACCGTAAAGGCTCAGATTAAGTATTCGTTTGGGATTTCTGAAAATTTTTAAAAACATCAGAAATCATAGTGTATTTAGTGTACACTTTTTAAAACGCTTAAAAGTATCGAGTTATTCATTTGAGATCTTAAAAAGTCTTACAAAATCTTATTATTTAACTTATTTGATAGAATTTATTAAGATTTTTTAAGATTTGTTAGGATTTTAAAAGAAAAAATCTTATATGAAATCTCACTCTAATCTCGCCTCCACACTTAAGATACTTCATAATACTCCTTCTATATCTGAAAATCCTAAAAAGTCTAAAATAAAAAAAAAAGTTTGAAAACGTCACTCCACACCAGGGGCGGACGCAGACTTTGAGGTCAACGAGGGCACAAAGTACGGTCAACGCCGGAGTTCAACAGTCAAATCAATATTTAACCAATTAAAAAAATAAAAAGATTAAATTTTGACCAGACACATATTGTTTCTTATTTATTTAATAATTAGAGTTGAGTCTCACATTCTCATTTTAAGAATAGGGACACATTTGATCCAATCCCTATATAGTATATACATTTATGTATAATATTTATTTTTTATGTATTTTTGAGGAAAAGGAAATAAACAAGAAGTTGAGTATAATGTAAGCATAAATTCCACGACTTAAAAAATAACATACTGTTGAAGGTTAAATAATCCTATAAATTTTCTTTTTATTTTTCAAAATAACTTTGCGTAATAATTAATAATATATATTTTTTATATGTCAATATAATAATACATTTATACATATAACATATATGTTATATTACTAAAAAATTCTACAAGGGCCCGTGCTCCTACCGACCCCTATGCAGATCCGCCCCTGCTCCACACTTAAGATATTTCATAATATTCCTTCTAAATCTGAAAATCCTAAAAATCTCAAATCTAAAATAATTTTAAAATATCACTCTAAATCCTAAAAGATTACACAAATATTAGGCTAACATCTAATAATTTTTGTATGATCGATATATACACTACAAAAATGTGTGTTTGTAATTGTTCTGACCATTTTTTAAACCGGATTCTGTAAAGGAATATAGTGACTGGAAGACGAGGGCAACAAAGTAGCAAAACTTGGATTAGTATCATAACTATGAGGGTATAACAAATGCAAACCAAATTTTAGTCAAAAGTAATCAATTTGAAGATACTTTTAGTTGAAAATTCATATTTCAATCTGGTATTTTTAAATGATCCATATATCTGCAATGTATATGGCCTTTTAGTGTCACTGTTCCCCTCATTCTACGGGAGAAAATTAAGGATTACAATCAATATTAAATTTTGAAAAAATAATAAAAAAAAAAACTATATAGCGTCTAGGCACTAGCTAGCTAGCTATTCGTCATTTGAGATTGAAAAATTGTGTTAATTATAAGCAAAGCATGACTATTATGTTCGTTTCGCTCGAAGAATGGGTAAAAAGAAAGAAAAAGAAAAATGGTCAGTTATTGTCAATAAAGAATAACTTATTACACGAGCATCTAATTGATAGAGATTAGAGTCACTATCATAGCTTTATATCAGGTGAGGTGAATTAGATTTATTTAATTACTCATTATTTAATTAGTAGATACACCCGTTTTTCAATCGATCATATATTTTAATGAAAAATCTGAATAACAATAATAAAAAACTAATTTCATGTCTGAAGCTTTCTTGTTCCAATTTTCTAACTCAGATCATACTCTATGTGAATTATATACTTTATCGAAAAATTAAAATTTAATTTAAGGATAATTTCACCTAGTATGGTCATATTAGTTAAACCGCGTGTCGGGTTTAAGAGAGATCAAAACATGTACCTATTTCGCTAGATTCGTAATATGATTTAAAAAAAAAAAAATCAGCCCACTAAACATAATTAATATTTATTCAGATAAAAGATATTGGAAAAATTCACGCTTTAATATTATAATTGTGTGACGTGGCAGTACCGAGCTGAATTAGACATAGCCAACCAAGCAAATGCCGGGCGACCCGCCCCAGGGCCCGGGACTAGGTGGCATATCTAATGTCACGTCCAAATCTAAGGGAGAAAAATAGAAAATAAGGTTAACTGAATTAAATAAAGCAAAGGGTTAATTTTTCTGAATTAATAGACACATTCACATAAATCTACTTGAACTAAAAAAAAAATAATAATACATAGCTTAATTTGTGGCTAAATTTGATATCAATCGTTATCTACGAACTTGATTATTGGGATAGATTATATTTTTTTATGTGTGTATATGTTTTGTTATCCAACCAGAAACACATTGTAGGACTCGAAATTAAGAGCAATCAAGAATAAAGACAAGGTTTTTTGATGTTGAACTCTAATCATGCAACAGAAAAATCCATTGTTTTCCAATCTACATAGGCTAGCAATTAATGATTCGGATCGAGGAATAATATTGTGAAAACCCTGAATTATTTCAAAAAAAGAAAAATTACATATTTTTGTTTATTTATTTTAGGAGCATGTATTTGGTTAGTGGGTAATATTTTGCTATTCATAGCCCATGAATTAATTTTTGAGGTGATAATTTATGGTTGACAATTGATTAGTTTGATAATTTGGTCGATATAATAAAATTTCACGTTAAAATTAATTGATAAATTGGCGCAAGAAAAATCTTGATTATTTTTTTTCTTTGAAATGTTGTCTCTATATTAACCATTTGAGATGAGCTCGAGCATTTTTGAAAAGTTTATACAACTGAATAAGACTTATTTAAATTCTGAAAGTTTATAATTAAACTAAATTAGAGAAGAGTAGTTTATTTCCTATACAATTGTTTTTGCTAAAATAGTATAGTATAATTCTTTTCAATCACCAGTTTGATAATTTTAGTATGGAAATATCAAATATTGAAAAGTAACTATGTAATACTCCTAACTTTTAAAATTAAAAATTAAAATTCCGATCTAAATTGTATCGTTTGATCACCGAGAAAGTACTTTTAGCTACTCAAAAAGTACGTGCCTTTTGTTTTATGAGCAACAAATGTAATTTTTGTGTCATAAACTTCGCTTTTGCCGCAGTTCTATGTTATAAGGTTGTTCTCGTGACAAAAATTGTTCAAATAGATTCTAATTATATTTCAAATAACAATATTGTGTATTAAAAAAAAGACCCAATTATATTCACAAGAATAAATGTATCGTTCCTTTATTTATTCTTGGCAGACTAAAATGCAAATTAAAAAAAAAATAATAATAATAATAAATGAATACTCATCAAATTTGTTATGAAGATAATTTCGAGATTTAATTATATATCGATTTATCATACGTTTGCCGCATTTGTTTTTTGTGTGCTAAAATCAAAATGAAGCCGACAAAATTGTGGTTGCCATGCATACCATGTATCATTTAATGATAATAATTAGGTGACCCATATGATATCGTGTAGATGGTATCATTTAATGTCAATAATTAGCTGCCCCGTATTTTGCATATATCATCACTTGATTGAGACTCAAACCATACAATTGTGAGATAAATTATAAGTAGCTTTTTTTTTTTTTTTTTTTTTTTTTTTTCTTTCGAATTTAGTCACATATTTCAAGATGTGTACTCGAATTACTAATTTATATCTTCGAATTACTAGGTTGCTTGCTAAAGATAATGCCCTTTTATATCAATATAAATCTATTATGTGTGGATTTGACTCTACTATTATTGTTCATCAGTTTATGGTTTGGATTACTATTTATTATTATACATCAAGAAACTGCAAGCAAAATTTACCCAAATTAAGAGTAAACACCCAATTACAGCAACCGTAGGTTATTCAACAATGTAATTAGGTGTAATTATATAATGTTATGCCTTGGATGAAAATTATTGATATAATTAGTGCAATGTTAATCCACATAATATGAATGTGAAAATACTATCAACATAACTTGAATTATCATTTTCAATGCATCGATCAATATTCAATACAATAAGAAATAATTTGTTCACGTGAACCGATTAAAATGATTCCGTTGTATGAGAGCAACAAAAAACTTTAACCAAATATAAACTGTATTGATGAGCCATTATATTTTACTTGGTGTTAGATATGAGAAAAGGAAATCTAACATTGTTAATATTAAGGGGGGTGTAT